ATGCTTTTATTTTAGTCAATGTGGGTTAACACAAAAGCATAGACGAAAGTTGTGAAATAGGGACATAAAAAGAGTATGAAATACTTATTTCAAATATTGTAAACTTACTTCAATTTACATAGAAATTGTTTTGAAAAGTGATGAATTATTTTTGCAAAATATTATATCGCTATTGTTGTTGAGTTTTTGTGTTCTTTTGTGCTTTTGATGGTTTGCAGTTGGTATTAGAATAGATATAATTTTTTATGTGAAAAAAACAAATTATGAAGAACTCAAACACATCTCATTTTGCTCAAGAACAATTTTCTCTACGCGACTAAGTTGGTAACAAAACGTTTTCACTCAGGATCTAGGACTTAATTAACTTGGATTTGAATTTTTAAATTTTCTAACTATTAGAAACCTAAAGGTTTCTGAATGTCTCTCTTCTGATAGAATATGTTTGCAACTATCCAAATCTTTTTTCCGATTCTTTCTAGTTATCTCAGATGACAAGAAAAAATCAAAATTAATATATTACCTATAATTTGGGCCAGTACTGTAATAAATAATGATAATAAGACCAATATCAGTGGTAAACAAATATTGTCACAAGATACTTTTCTGTAGAAATTAGGAAAGTGACTTGAATCATTCATACTTATGAAAGGTATCAATCTAATTTTCTAAATATCGTCATTTTTACGTTTAGAGAAGGAAAAGGACAATAATGTGATAATTTAACCGTTATTCTGTATAAAAGTTCTTTTAGTCACAATTATTTTCGATATGAATATTGCCATCGTTGTTTACTCTTCTACAAGTGACGAAAAATATGATACAATAGTTTAATTTGATTAATAAAATTGTTCTTTGTTCAGAAAAAAATTTAATTACATATTTACTTCTTCTTTCAGTTAGTTCTTACGCATTAGATGCTAAATAAAACTATTTTATTCAAACCTTGACTAGTTAGTTCTAAGTAGATATTAACAAAAACTGATAGAATTTTTCTTAATATACTAACATTCCATATGTTCACAAAAATGTAATAGATCTTTTATAAACATAAAAAAAACGATAATCTGTGTATGTACTTTTTCTCCTACTCTATGTACATTTTTTTTTTCAACAAAAACTTTTATTCTTTGTTTTATTCACCAGTACGCCCATCGTTTATCTAATCATTAAGCGCATAAATGAATAAAAAAAAACAAAAATTCAAAACCAAAACAAATATAAATGAATCTAATCAATAGTCGAGCAGCAGGACGTATACGAATCGAATAAATACCATCATTGAAATCGACTAGTTTTCAGAAAAATGAGACAGTTCTTCTCTCTTAATCAATTTTTTTGCGTATGATAAATTTTACTTATAATATCCATTGGCAATATTTAATTATCAGTGATAGATATACAACAAATGTGTTGAAATAAAGTGATAAAGTCCAGATATACATACTCTATTTTCATCTCATCCTGATTAGCATGGAAAAATTGTGCTTAATCAGAGCAGGAAAAATGGCTTTTTTGTTTTGTTTGACGTTTTACAAGAAATAGTTTACAGGTTTTTATGTGTCAAAGTTATCGATTGATGTAAAGCAAACGAAACAGAATTTTTGTCTTGAAATCGTCGTTTTTCACACTTAAAATCATCATTATTTTGATCATCAAATTTTAGAAATAGAACTAATGTATAAATCTAAATCTTAGAATCGTTTTCTTCATCTTTTTGAAAATTTTCTGTTTAGTATTATAACAGATGATTTGCTTCTATATTCTAGGCTGGCACATGTAGACTATGTGTAATAGTGTCATGTGTATATGGCATATACACAATGGTCTTGTATTATTCTATTTGTTCGTTACTAATAAATTTGTTTATTCACAATTTTTATCATCATCTGACACATTTTTTCCGCCTGCCTCCAGTCCATTATCGACACTATCAAAGGTTAAAAATCTTCCTCATGTTCAGTGTATAACAAATGGCGCTTTAGCCGGTTCAATTATTGGTACATTAATATTTTCATGTTTTGTGGCATTTCTAACATATTTAGTCTATTTACGACCAAAATTTCAAGGTAATACAGTAATTAACACTATTTTTAAATAAGTCAGTTTTTCTTATATCTAATAATATTATGTTATACATTTAGAACTTCATTCCTGGAAGACAGGCTGTTTAAAGAGTGTTTCACCTTATTTTAATTCTGCTGATGCTACATACGATAATCATTGTCATGCCAATCATGATCTACAATCACATACGAAAAAACAAGTACAACAACAAATACCCAATGATACACGTATATTTCTTTTATTCTCTACTTTAACATTAATTCGTATCATTATATTTTTAGATACATTAACGAATGGAATATTACCACTTGCGATCACTGATGTCAAAGTAAGTGCGATCGATTGATCGTACGAAATCTGTCTTTATAAAATTGATCGTGGATTATGTAGATTAACTTAATCTAATTAATTAGGCTTAATCTGATTAAGCCTCTTATATTCTCCGGTCAGGAATCTAATTTCGTTAGATTAAGTCGTACGTTGATAAAATTTTCAGCGGATATTGAATACGTTGTACATAGTTTATAGCAAACAAATTGAGGCTATAACGCCATAGAGCCAGAGATTTGAAATTTTCTTTTTTCAAATGTCATCCCCAAACTTCAAAAAACTTCTGCAAAGCTGCTGGAAATCTACTATTCTTCTTGGACGTTAAAATCAAATTGAAAATCCAACTCTGTGATGTTGTAGCCACAATTTTCCTCGGCAAAACAAAATCATTCCGAACCAGGAATGGTTACTATCAGACGGGAAGGAAAATGTTTGAAACGCTGCAAAACAAGAAAATTTTCTAAAAAATGTCTAAATCACGTTTCAATAACCGTGAAGACAATTCGATTTTGAGAAAAAAGAAAAGTACGTTCTGAAATTATGAAATGTTTTTTCTAGAGAAACTATGCCTTTAAAAAAACGTAATAATTTAGAGGTTTTAATCTAACGGGAACGTGCAGAGACATGTGCGATATATTCTCTGTCATATCCACATAGAATTTCAGTAAAAAAAGCAATATTTTGTTGTATAGTGCCACTTTCACTTGGTTACTGATTATGAGAAATCTAGTGAACAGATAAATTTTTTGATTTATTAAAAATAATATACAACTAAGAGCGGCATATGTTTATTAGATAACTTCATAGTCAGTAATCTAGAGAATCACCAAAAGTCGTAATTATTGAGACCAATAGCAGATCATTAGAAAGTGAAGGCTTTGCTCTATCTAATCATGTGCTCTTTTCGAAATCATTTTTGTTTTTTCCCCAATCGACTTTGCTGACCTAGTAGGAGACATTAATCTATCTTCTATCACGCATACTTAATTATGATTGAACATTTGTTTATTACTATAGTCTGTTTCTAAACTTCTAGTTTGGTACATATCCATTTCGGCAAGCACTGACTCCAAATGCTCATCATCACCAATGTAAACGTCAAGGTGAAAAAATGTTAACAATAGCTCCCGCTCAATGGTTTCATCGAACATCATCATTTCGTTCAATGAATATTGATCAAGTGAGAGCACATCGAATGATGAGTTGTTGTTTCTTTTAATCTTAGATATATTATGTTTAGGATAATGAACTAATTGAAGTTGAATTAATCAGTCCTGATTTGAGTGGTCTTGGATTTAATATTGTTGGAAATATGCGAGCGGGTATTTATGTTAAAGATGTATTCGATAAAGGGCCAGCAATTGAATCAAAATTAATTAAATCGGGTTGGTTAAAATTTTCAAAGAATTTCGAATACGATATTATAAATGTCATAAATTTTTTATTGCAGGTGATCGTATAATGTCAGTAACAGTATGTTTTGAATCAGTTGTATTTGAAGATGCACTTACGATACTAAGTTACGCGTCACCATATCCCGTAAGGCGTCACAAATGGTGAAGGGTGCCTGTAAGTAGTATATCATGATTATTTTGCTATTTAGGTCCTCCTTCGTTTACATCGTTCATTACAAAATTCAAAGCGTACGACAAATGCAAAACCACAAGTCACTTGGCAAGACGATTTTGAAGAAGATGATAATAAAAGTAATGTTGTTAAGAATAATTCATAGAAGTTATGAAAAGTATGACTCCTTTTAACACTATTTCAGTTTACTCTAAAAATGAATCAAAAAAACGTGTACAACAAATAGTTACTGAAAAATCTAGTCAAAATAGATCAAAAAAGAGACAAAAACAATCTCATAATAGTCGTTCATCGACAACGCATGGTGCTCGTACAGCAATAACAACAACAACACCAACAAAACCCACATCAAAAGGTAAAATTGCCCCATCAAAACGTTCATCTCAGTCTGCGCGACCGCTACGTGAAAAACCGCCTGTTCCGTCAACAGCAGCAATTGGTGCCCTAGTTACGGGAACAACATCGTCGGCAGCACCAACCACAACCACGACGAAATTAAATCCAACTAAAAAAATGAAATCTGTAACGGATGCTGTTATCGCCTATTTGCACTATAAAGGCAGTGGAACAGGAGGTCAGAATTCTCAAGGTAGAAAGAGAGAAAGAAAAATGCATGTATCCGGCGAGTAGTGCATGAATTATTTAGATGGGTTAAACCACTTTATTCTTCATTTCTAACCATTTTGCATGACAGAATAAAAAGGTTTTAAGTCAACTCCATCATATAATAATAGAATTTATACGGGTATCTAAGTGATTTTATGTTTTACTTTTCTTAAAATCTTTTTTCGTATTTCTTCTAGCTAATGAGATTGAGCAGAAAAAACAAAAAAAGTCGATTNTTACTTTTCTTATTGTATGCCATTTATTTTTTAGATCCAACTGCTTCGGAAGTAAATATGATGGTGAGCATTGTTTTCGTTAGATTTTATTATTTTCTTACCTAACTGTTTGTTTAGCCTTATTATGATTCGCCATACGAGTGTTATTATGGCGCACAACAAAATTCTCATACAAACTTAAATAAGAACAATAACAATAATGCATCTGATCACATATCACCAATCTATACTGTTCAATTAACACCATCCAAACAATTTCTACATTCTTGCCATATCCCAAGGAAATGTAAACAACATTTATCTCGACAGAGTGTTATCCAAAATGAAATGTTAAACTCAATATCTATCGACGACATATCGACTGATACTTATGTTTAAAAAATGTGATGAAGAGTTCGACAATGTATATATATTATTCATTTCTTGTTTTGTTTGCTATTTGTTAAATTTTACTTGTTATTCTACATAAAATCGAATAAAATGTTGCCTGACCGCTGCTTTTTTGTAAATTTCAGGAACTTCGAGTAACAACTGAACATATTTTTGTTTGCAGAAGCGATTAAGTTTCACAATTGTAATCCATGTTTTTGGGCAGTAATATTTTGAACGTCGAAACAGTACTGGAAAATATTATAGAATCGACTTTTTTGTTTTTTCTGCTCAATCTCATTAGCTAGAAGAAATACGAAAAAAGATTTTAATAGTTGAAAGAGTTTGCAATCAGGAACGATTTTTGATATAAAAATCCCATTCAAATTACTGGTAATTGGATTTTTGGAAAACTAAGACCGTCACGACCCAATACCTTGAATTTGTTCGGAACAGAGATGGACAATCAAACTTCGAAGTTGAGCTTCGTTTAGTGGAATTGGAGTTGCCTTTTTGTTAAATTAGAGTTGAGCTGAGTTCCGATGTTGTCAATTATAACTCTACAATTTCAGTTAAAAACTTAGAGTAGAGAGAGTGTTTTCACAGAGTGGTTTTCTTTTCCAATCTCATCGATGTAGAATAGCAAAAAGTACGGTTTCAAAATTAACATTTTGAAATGCAATTTTGAATTGTTAAACTGACTTTTTTTATGCGTTCTCTTATAAACAAAAGCGAAATAAACAACTGCTAATAAAATAAAGAAGAAAATGAATTAAGACAAGATAAGTTCTTGTCGGAGTTGGAGTTGAACTTAGCCGGAGTTGCCCATCCCTGATTCGGAATACTTTTGAAAATATCTCAGCTATACAAAATGAACATTTCTAGACTAAGTGAGACATCTAGTTCTCGCAGATATTTTTTTTGTTACACTACAATCTATTCACAAAAAGCGCGGTCATGTCTATTGCCAAAAAGAACACGGCAGCAGATGTCTACCAGAGAGCTGAGACGAACAGAATCAATAGGAAAATACCAGAAACAAGTCTTTATGGATTTTTGTGAAGAATATAGTTTAACAAAAAAAATGTCTTTGAGAACTGAGAGATATCTCATTTAGTCTAGAAATGTTCACTGTGTACAGTTGAGATCTTTTCAAAAGTATTCCGAACAAAATTCAAGATATTGGGTCGTGACGGTCTTAGTTTTTCCAAAAATCCAATTACCAGTAATTTGAATGGGATTTTTATATCAAAAATCGTTCCTGATTGCAAACTCTTTCAACTATTAAAATCTTTTTTCATATTTCTTCTAGATAATGAGATTGAGCAGAAAAAACAAAAAAATTCGATTCTATAATATTTTCTCGTACAGTACATTTCTAAAATTATTACATTGAACTTCAATAGATTCTTTTCATGAAATATTAAAGTTATCATTGTCGAACAAGACATCGATATTAACTGGTATTAGATCCATACTCTTAATATAGTAAGCGTAGAAATTTAAATAAAAATCTATTATTCAATCATTCTCTAGCGGGAAAGAAAAACTCATGACATTTTAGAAAAGAATGTGTTTTTTTATCTGATAACTCAAAATATAATACAAAAGTTGTATAATTCAATAGTTGTGCATTAAGTGATGTTTAATATTGAAATATATTGTTTGACTTTTTCTTTTAGATTATTTTGTCGAATCATGGATCAAAAGACAAACAGTCTTCAGAAAAAGCGGTCATCATTGTTTTCTACAGAGAAACCAGTTAATCCTCTTATAAGAGCATATTTACTTATTTATAATGGAGCATTAGCTGTCGGGTATGTATAGATCGTTTTGAATACATTTAATATCATTTTAAATATTTTTGTTTTAGATGGACAGTAATATTGTATGAAACGTTAAAAAATGTATTAACTTATCGTTCGTTAAAAGATTTAAGAGAATGTTATGGATTATGGAAATCAGTCGAAGTACCGTTAAAAATTTATCAAACAGCAGCATTCATGGAAGTTAGTGCAATCTATTACTTAGACCAGTCAAAATGTTCTACCATTCTGAAAAACGACACCATTACTCAATCCCTAATCTGGTCTTCTATACTATCATGAGAAAGCCCAGACGCTGATGGATAAGAATCTGTCATTAGAATATCTTCCAGTCCTTTCCTTTCTGAAAACATTGAACTTTTCTCATTAGGATGTCCAAACAGGTATGGGTTTAATAAAAATAGGTCGAAAAGTAAAATATATTTGCACAAGCGAATTACACTACTGGAATCAGCATACTTTTCTCTAAAAAATGCCGTTGATTAGAAATCTTCATTCGGATGTGATATGTTAAAAAAATTTCATTGAAGAACTTCGCTTTTATTAAACCTATACCTGCTTGGATATCCTGATGAGAAAAGCTCAATTTTTTCAGAAAGGAAAGATTTGAAGATATTCTGATGACAGATTCTTATACATCAGAGTCTGAGCTTTCTAATGATAGTATAGAAGGCCAGATTAGGGTTGAATAATGGTGTCGTTTTCAGAATGACAGAACTTTTTGACTACCCCAAGTGCTAAGTAGAAAATGAGACTTTTTTAATACATGATAGGCTATCTTTACAAATAAAATATACATGAATTTTTCTATTCTATTTTGTTTTATTTAGGTTTTACATGCTGCACTTGGTTTAGTCAGATCGAATGCAATGATTGTATTTATTCAAATAATATCACGTGTATTTTTGGTATGGGGCGTCGTTAATTATATTTCATACGTAAGTAGATTCAATCGGCTCTTTCCGAACTGAGACCACCTTTTTGCACTCACTCTCATTTTTTTTATTTACTATATTTTTCTAGGCTCAATTGACACCCGGTCTATTGATAGCTGTAACATGTTGGTCTATAACAGAAATCATCCGTTATTCATATTATGCTTTAAATTTGTTTAATTCATCTCCATCATGGTTAACATATTGTAGATACACATTTTTTATTGTATTATATCCACTCGGCGTAGTAGTAAGTTGAACAAATTCTATTATTTCATGGATCATTAATTAATATTGACATTTTTCAGGGTGAATTGTGGACAATTTCAAAAGGAATGTCGTCCATCTATTCTCAACCACATCGAAATCATTATTCTATATTATTACCAAATAAATATAATTTTGGACTAGATTATTTTTACCTTCTGTGTATTGTCGTTTCAGCCTATATTTGTAAGTATTTCAATCTATTTAAGGGTACCCCCCTTTTTTTCACCTTGTTGCCAAAAGTGAAGCACACATCCGATTGAGCTCCAATTTATAGCAGAGATAGAACACCGAAAAAGAAAATCGATGTGTTTTTACCCAGAATTTTCTGAGAGATTCTTATATGGGTTTTCTGGAAAACTCCAGTTTTCATCGGGCCACATTACTACCCCTCGAAAAAATGACCCGATCGAGTTCAAATTTTTACCACAGATACTTCACACCCTATCGCAGAATGAAAATCTTTTTTTCCAAAAAATATGCTTTCCTTCTCGAGGTATACGAAAAATACTGAAAACCAGTGAAAAAAACCTGAAAAAATCTGACTTTCAGCATTTTTCGTATACCTCGAGAAGGAAAGCATATTTTTTGGAAAAAAAGATTTTCATTCTGCGATAGGATCTGAAGTATCTGTGGTAAAAATTTGAACTCGATCGGGCCCTTTTTTCGAGAGGTCGTAATGTGACCCGATGAAAAATGGAGTTTTCCAGAAAATCCATATAAGAATCTCTCAGAAGATTCTGGGCAAAAATACATCGATTTTCTTTTTCGGTGTTCTATCTTTGCTATAAATCTTTAATTAAAGTTAATTTAATTGGTTAATTGGTTGAGTAAAATAGTTAACAGAGAATTAGAGGAATTGATTTTTTTTTCTGTTAGAAAATACATTAATTGAAAGGTTACAACGGAACCGTTTTTATTTTATTTTTCTAAAAGAGATACATCTTACATAGTCATCAGACAACTAGTTGTTCTTGTCGTGTAACTAAATGGTGTTGATTTTCATCGTGAAGTGATGATTGAAACTCAATAAGGATACGTTTATATCCTTCTCCTTCGGCTGCTGATAATTGAATTCGTTGCTGTTGTTGTCTATCAGAACTTCTCTTACAAATAATCCAATCAAAAATACTATCATGAATATAATTGAGTCTATAGTATAAGTTTCGAAATATTTGTCTTAAATAAGTATAATCTGGTTCATCTGTATATTTCAAACGACGACAATACGAGAGATACATGGCAAATTCAGGTGGAAATCCGGCACAAAGTACAGTAATTGGTGTTGACATTTTACTTTCACATATTCTCTCATATTTTTGTCGTTTATTTAATGCTTTAATGCCTTGCCATGGTAATTGACCACAATTAAAATAAATAAAAACGTATGCTAATGCTTCCATATCATCACGACGACTTTGTTCAATACCCAAATGAGTGGAAATCTAAATTCATGAAAATTTTTATTAATTACAATCAATAATCTGATAATGATAAAATCATTTACCGATACATATCTTGGTGTTCCTGTTAAACTTTTTCCCTCTTTGTATGGTATATGTTTTCTTGATCGATTATCATAAAATTTTTTTGCTAAACCAAAATCAATAACATAGACCTAGAAAGAGGATAATATAATTCTAACATATGTTTAATAGTATTTTCTACATTTGATATACTTTTGTACATTGTTGTCCACTTCCAATGAGAAAATTATCTGGCTTAATATCTCGATGAAGATAATGTTTTCGGTGTACATATTCAATTCTTGCTATCATTTGATCAGCTAGCATTAAAATAGTTTTTAATGAAAATTTACGTAAACATGTATTAAACAAATCTTCTAAACTTGCACCCAATAATTCAATAACCAAACATTTATAATCTCCTTCTTCACCAAACCTTATGATACAGATATGCGAAACATTTTAAATATAAAATCATCATTATGTGTGTCTGAGTTTTGTGATCAGCAGTTCGGAGAAATTTTCACAGAGAAATTAGTCCAAAGATCGAGAAAAAGACATACTTGAGTAGCGATATGTGTCTGTTATTAGAATATACAATATGTGACTTTTAAATATTTTTCAGTATATCCATCGGTTAAAAGAAGATCTTATAGTTTTACAACAACACTTAACTAATTGAAATGGATACATTATTTTTAAGTAGCGCTATACTGAATCGTAACACGATAATTTTTTTTTGTTGTTCGAAAGAGAAATGAAAACTGTGTCGAATATTGAGCGTAGATTTTCGAATTTGGTTCTCACTTTTAGATTTTCTTTAGTAACTCTTAAGCACACTAAAGGTAAAAATGAACACCTCCCCCATTCAATGAAATTGGATATCGACTTTGTTTTAAAACCATGCCGATATTTCTAACTCATAATTTGAAAAGGATTTCTCTAGTAGTACCTGCAGGGTATATTTTGTCTCTTGTTTTCCTAAATTTCTTGAACAGTCATATGTTAACTGTCCGAATTTGTTTTTCGAGCACTATATTTGATATCATATCCGTTTACTGGAATTTTCCACAAAATTTAAGATAAAATAAAAAAGAATTTCTCGCTATGCAGGATTTTCCCTAATTATATTCACACTTTATAATCTACTCGATCATAAATCTTAGCAGTGATTGATGTTAATTTTATCCCAAATAACGGTTTAAACGATTTACTTTCCGTTGATTGTTTTCTATTTTTATTAGTTTTTTTCCGCAGAAAAGAAAAGAAAAATATCATTTTCGCTGTATAGGATTTACTTTCCATTGATCACATAAAAATATGTGTCAATTAACGCTTCTTCAACTATACAAATCTATTAGTTCAGATTCTTCAATAGCTTTTCGCTTTAATTTTTTTTGAATTTATAATATTTCCGAATCAATTTCATCTGATAAATGTGTATGCTCATCCTGTACGACGATTAGCAAAGTCTGGATAAGTTGTTGATATTGCTTTGCATTTCACACGCACATAATACTCTAAATCATTTTGATTTTTACGTTTAGAACAATATCGGTAACCGTAATAATATAATTGTCTTTTGCCTTGTGTAGATTCAACAAATTTAATAGACATTTTAAAAACATGATGAGAATACAGTTGCGTATGTCTACCTTTATATACATTTTTAACAAGGATCATCACGTTGACGATTAGACAAATAAGTTCAGCAAACGTGGTGATTACTGTTCTAACTTTCTCAGTATTCTCCATTATTTAACAACTGGATATAAAGAGCAGTGTTCGTTTCCATTTAGTTGGATAATCATTCTCGCATATCTCTCTTCTTATCCTTTATGGGTGAATGTTCGTTACGTTTAAAAATTTATTAACTGTAGTGAGTATTTATTTGGTTATTTCGTCAATGGATTGTTATTTTCTTCCAAATAATCAGTGGAAAGTAAATCCTATACAGCGAAACCGGCATTTTTCTTTCCTTTCTTGTAGAACAAAACTAATAAAAAATGGAAAACAATCAACGGAAAGTATTCACCAAATAACAGATGGAATTTGTTTTTGACTTTATGTTAAAACGTCATCTAAAAATTATCGTGTTCAACTCATCATACGTACCACAACAGTTTTGGTATTCCGATTCCGCCTTTCATTAGTTTATATAATTTAGCTTCGAATGCCAGTTGTTGTGAATGCGTATGATTTAATTCAAGTTTAATCGCTACTGTTTCACCTGTTTGGAAATTAATCGCACGATACACTTCACCGAACGATCCTGAGCCGAGTTTTCTCTCTAGCTGCCATATTCCAGCGATTAAGAGTGTGGCTGATGATTCTTGGTGATACAATGGTTCACGTTGTGTCTCTTTGACTAGACACGTAGTAGTCATTTTTTAAAAGACTAATAACAACGTAAAACAGCTTCTATGCAACATCTGTCAATGTTTACTGATGAAGAATGTATGACAAAATAGATTTTAAATAAGAAATTAAATTAAATTGAAATGATATTACATTGTAAGGAGAATAGAACTCATAATTTTAGGTTAAAAGAAGAATAGAGGTATAGATAATAAGTTTTTGGTTTCTTTAAAAACGAAACAACATTCGTTTTTAGCTTGAATAAAGAGATAAAACAACATTTTGTTTCGTCTGTTGCTATGGATTTTCTTCATTTGGACTACAATGATTCTCCCTCGATTATTTTGTATTTTGTCGCTAATTGTTGAAATACTGTTCGATGATTGTGTATTGAAAGCTCGAATTTTTATCTTTAAATCATTCTTTTCTAATTCTGTTGTGTTTTTATTTAGATTTTCCATCAATGTATAAACATATGTATAAGCAACGTGCAAAAAATGTTCACTTAAATAAATAGAAGATAATGAATGAACACAACCATGACAAAAAACAACAGAAATTTTTTTTCGATTTATTTTGTGTGTATCTGTGCTTTCTACTGTGTTTTCTATGTGTTTGTAATAATAAAAACAAGAAAAATATCAAATTAATAATGAAAATTCATTTTGACATAAATGAAAATCCTGATTAGTTTTGTCGTACTGTTTTAGACAAAATTATTGATCAGATTCGTAGATATAATGATGAGAAAAAATTGTTGTACTACAAAATAAAATCCACTGTTTGATATTAAAAATTTTCGTTGAATATCGTGTGAAATAAATAAATGCGTTTTGTTCTGTTTCTATTTATGATCAAAATGAACTATATATAATGCAATGACAGGTAAAAGATAGATAGCCAGTATTAGGATAAAACGTATAGCTATTGCATCATTCTCATCTGAAATGTAAGAAATCATAATTAGTTTATTTCTTTATATTTTCTTAAAAAATTTTCTTAAACAACATTGCATATTAGAAGATGTGTTTGTTCGAATTCTACCAGGTGACATATTATAATCATAGCTTCAGAGGAAAAAAATACAGTGTTAAAAATGATTACTTCGGGGATTTACACGAATTTCTATGAGGAAATCAAATAGTTTGGCTATTTTTGAATGAAATAGTGGGAAAATTTGCTTGTACACAACTACAAATACTCTATTGAATGTGCAATTCAAAACCTTTTTACAACTTGATGAAATTCTCTTTTTCTCGTTTCTGCTGAACGATACAATAGCTAGCTATCGGTAGAGTTGTTAAAGAATTTGATGATTCTATCGTCGATTATACTTTATTTGACGAAAAATGGGATAGATTAATATTGAATGGAATGCGTAAAAGAGAGTTAATTTGATTTTCTATAAAATTATAGACTTTTAATAAACATATTAAATAAGAATGTTCTTCTTTAATATATTGATGATTTATTTGTTTATAAATATACGTCGAAACTAGTGATATATTTAGTTCTTTAACACGGTACAAGTAAAAATCGATCAAAAATATAATTACTTTGCCAAAGAATTATCTGTTCAAGTAAGTTTTTCGGAATTAAGTACTACTTTGATTATCTTTATGTCTAAAATCGAAATATCTGTCTTATGTTGTTAATACATCTTTGTTTGATCAATTTCTTGAGTTTTATAAGTTCAGTTAGTAACTGAAAATTTTTCTGAAAATACTAACTTTTACCCGGACGAGATGATTCAGACACAAGCTTAGATTAGAAGCGTGGACATGATACCTCGGGTAGTCCGATAGTGTCAATACTGAATAATTAATTAAAGCGAACATCAAATGTGTGAGGACGAACGTCCTAAACTGTCTTTCAATGTGGGATCCGGACTAGTTTGAAGCGTTCGAAAACAGACTGCACTTTAGCCCCGTCGTTTGTATATCCAGTGGTAAGACATACGTATGCTTTAATAGCGCCTTGTCACGTTGACTTATAGAGATACTATGAGTGCAGTGCGTAAATGAGAATCTAGACGCATTTATAAAGTATTGTGATGCATTTGTTACATAGAAATATTCTCTTACTGAAAAAAAAATGAAGCTTGATCTTTTTTAAGTCACATCAGATACATTTTTATAGTAAATGCATCTTTTTTTTGACAATGCGATTTTTGTACACATTTTTTGTATATATGTACCATTCATTTAATGCACACGTTTTATGAGTTCATTGAACCCTTTTGCCATAGTTGAGTTCAATGTCTATATTGCTAGAATATAAAAAAGGATATAGTATATATAGATCAAAGTTATTTCACATTATTTCTGTGGCTGTTGTCAAATCGAGTTCATCGCTATTTTTTACTCGATATTGACTGCAAAGTGACAACGTTACGTTCCAGAAGTGAGAGCTCCTCTACATTCTAAAATATAACAAAACGAAAAAATGCATTTGCAACTATACTAAACGCATTTTCGTTTTGCATTTTGAATGCAAAAACTCTTTCCGCTTTTTTAACTTACTGTTACGTGTTTTAACAGTAAATGCAAAAATGGATAAGGGTTTCTTATACGTGTATTGTGGGTTTTGCACTTAATTAAAAAAAACTCCCATAGTATTTCAGAATACACCTGACCATATTTGAAGCAGTATCTGGAGGAGTTTTTGCGTTCTTGAAAACCAAAATATGTTTTGTATAGTGGCAATACCAAAAGTTCTCCGATTTTTAGTATTTTTAACTACGTTTCAGGGTTTTGTATAATTTATTCAAGAAAAAGCTTCATCTTTCTTTGCTAGAAGAAGAAATAACGCTAATATACTTTTAAAGAAAAGCATTAAAAACGATTTATCTCGAAAACGAAACGTTTTTGGGTAAAGCCGCCGGATTTAGTTTTGTGTCGAATTTCATTCTTTGCATTTTCACTCGAAGGCACCACCTCAGAAAAACGCTTTCCAACTGAGATAAACACTATTTTCTGTTTAGCAAAGAAAATACGATCGTTTACAGCTGCTTACGACGATCGTATACGGCTGAACATAATTTTCTGCTACTTTTATATTCTCCGTTGTTCATTCCACTTGATTATGGAGTATCGCGTTGAGTGTTAACGGGATCAGATACTAGATAATTCTCTAAAATTATACATGACGTTAAGCCATCACAGACGAAGAAATATGTACTATAATCCGCCTCGAAAGAAAACAAAAACTGTTTGTGCGTACAATAATTCTAGTGTCTTTCAACTCTATTTTTCCTCTATGTAGTTGAGTCAAAGAAATATGAAAATAAAATAGTAAAGTAAAGAAAAGAAACAGCAGTAAAGCGAAACTAAAACGTTTGTCAGTCAAATATGTAGAAAATATTATCATTGTCAAGAGATTTTACCAAATGAAATTTATGGACGATAGAAAATATGTGAGTAAAAGAAATTAAATTTGAACAAAAGAACTATAACCAAACACATCTAATTTAATCTACAATGTCTGTTCTTTCATCAATATTATAGTATTGGGTTTCATGCTTCCAAAAAACGATGTATGCATATTATAAAAATTCAACTTGATTAATTACAAAGCCGATTGTGTACTTTAGGAAAAACGAAATACGCGATGGGTTAGTATTATTGCTTCAGAATGATCGGGTTTTTAATTGATTCAAAAAAAAGGTTTACCCTAAATCACCTTCGGTTCTTCGAGGAACAGATAGACCGAAGAGATTTTGGCAGCAGACCGAAAAACTGTGTTAGTATTCCTGCTAATTCAAAAACTCCAACCGTATTTTACAATACCGAATTATTATTACAAGAAATTAGAAATACGGTTTTGTGTGAAACCAAAGAGTTTTATAGTAATTACAAAACGCTTTTTAGTTTTTCATGTTTTAAATAAACTCTTTTCAGGTTTGAAACGAAAACTAAAAATTTTTTTGATTTTTTAAAATTAGATGTTTTTTAGAGCGTAATAATTGTATTCGAACGTGTTTGTAGTCTAGCCTTTTCGCATGTGTCCGTAATTAAACTATTACTTTAATAAGTTGTTCATCTGTATCAAGTATTTAATCAGCGGTGGATGTGAATGTGAGTAAAACTACAACGAAAAATGTCTTGACATTTTGATTATATGAAACTTCTTTTATTCCCTTGACTTTAAGTCTAAGGTTATAGAAAAACAATGTCGGCATCGGTATCCGTAAATAATAGGGCGGCACATTAAACAGACAGAGGCTCCACAGTCAACGTTAAAATGATCGCCTAGACATTGAGAGCCACGACCAACGTAAGAAAAATCTGAGTTTATATCTCTGAGATAGAAGGCTTCTGAATCCATATTTGACCTATACGCTTTATACTGAGTTAGTTTGTTAGTAAGTACAGTTCTTTTTCAACTTGATTGGATGGAAATGATCTTTTCCACCACAATCAACGTGAAAATATCGAAGTCGGTACGGTGATATTATATTGTCGAATAATGGTAAGGAGCAGCTGGCGAGCACCAACCGAAGGAAGGTGCGAGAGTCTTTTCGTATTTTGAAAGAGCGTAGGGATTTTATCGTCCGGGTTAGTCAATAGAATGAGTGATGAATTTCTAAATGTGAAGTCGACGGAATGCAATTCTTCTCGTAATTCATCGCATAGTTTAAATAATCTTCCGTTGAATTGTGTCATTCGTCTGTAAATAAATGATTATTATGATAAACACTTTATCGAAATTATCGGAGATGTTAAAGCAGTAACTCATTCATAAATGAATCTCGTCCGAATAATTTGATTGATTATATATATGTTCAAGGACTATCAGTTCTATCGGAATATGTTGTTGAATCAAAAAATGTCAAAATGTATATATAAATATTTTGCTCTACTTTTTTCCATCATATTAATTTCTTTCTTTAGACATAAAATATTAGTCAAAAAACATCTTCAGACATAAACAGGCAAACTATTTCTAACAAATATTAATAAAAATACTAACAAGATTGTTTTTCATTAGGAATTGCCTCTTTTGTACATTTCCACTTAAAATTAAGAAT